TTGACAAGTCCATCTATGTGCATACAATGCACACACAATAAAACAATCCTTACTGCCTATAATACACACCAAAAAGGGGTGCACCATGTGGAACGTTCTGTTGACAAGAATGTGGAAGTAAAATTTTACTCAGAGATCTCTCCTGATTTACGAGATATGTGGAATACAAAGGATGCATTAGTAAAATATGTGTATAAAAAATATAAATAAATATATAAACAGACTAAATGTGAAATAAACATATCTCTGGAATCCTAAAGCATGTTGTGGCTATAATTGTATAATCTATGGTCAAATATACTGACAGTAGATGTGGGAAAATGCTTGATTGAACATCTATAACACACTGCACTACCTGTAATATATCGTAACCATAAAGGGTTTACCTTATAGATGTAATGTGGACTGGACATTGAAATAAAAAAAATGACGCTAGGTCTCTGCTGATTTCTAAGGAATATAAAATACCAATGACTATGTTATACCCGTAGGAATATCTAAAAATAAATATACAAAAAGATTGCTGTAATCATGAAGCATGTTATAGCGGTGAATGTGTGACCCACGATCAAATATAGTGGTGGTAGATGAGAATAAATGCGTGGCTGAAGCCCAATTTTAAAAAAATAAGAGAAAGTATCTACCTTCTCATAGTATATATTGTAATGAAAGTTGCATAGCTTCCATCTCGGCAATATAGTAGTTGGCGTAAATGCATGTTTAAAGTAGGGTAGAAGGTAGCCAGAAAGGAGAACATTGTGAGCAGACAGTAGTGAGAAGAAGTGAGAAGAGGAGTAGTTGAAAAATAGAAGGGTATCTTCATAGAAGCCAATGTTTAAATCCTTGGGTTTGAGACATGGAGAAATCTCCAGTGGACACAGGGTAGGTAAAAAGGCCAGTGGGGCCTTATACATATACTGTTCTAACAATGTGATACTGGACCCCAACTGCCCTAAAAAAAAATCTTAAAAACTAAAAAGGAAGATATTATTACTAAACAATTGCACCTGGATAAGTCAAGAAAGCAATGAAAACTATAACAGCTTGAGCTCAGTTCAACAGAGCACTGAGTCCCAAGGCAACAGTCCAGACAAACCCTGCCCCTCCCAGCAGAAACAAAAGAAGATATACCAGGTATACCATTGGGATCAACCAAGTCTTTCCAGGACACCCATGCAGCCATCCTGGCTCAGCCCCAGTAAAAGGATAATGACGTTGCTGCCCCTCTCATAGAGAACCACACACCCCCAGTTACCCACACCAACTGTCCATTTGAGCCACATCCCTGGAGAACACCGGAGCCTATTCATCATCACAGGCTCTTTCTGGAACCCCAACCCACCAGTCTTCCAGGCATCTCGACTCTACCAACATAGCAGGACTCATAATAGTTGGCTTTGGGCCTCCACACAGGGTCGAGATGCAGAGGTGACTCTGCTACCTTAATCAAGCAGATGCAGCTCCCCATCCTGAGGGACATGGCTCTGCCTAACAAGGCCCAATCAGTTTCAAATCCAACCTCAGTTAGGATGGCCATCGTTTCTAGTAACATGTGGTCTAGAATTTTGGGTGCAGGTTAGGCCATCTGCAGTGATAAACCACTGATCACAAATGCCAGGTTGAGAAGGTAATCATGTAGGACCGGTAGAACAAAACATATTTACACAGTCTAGGATGACCTGCCCGGACCACATGGGGATGACAGGGTCGGCCACCCAGCCACCTGCTCACCAAAAGCATTGGTTTGCTGGTGTAGTTCTCATTGTTCAGAATGTGGGCTCCTAGTCATGTCCAGATTTGTCTTCATATGCAGTATGCAAACTCTGTGTGCTGTCTCCATTGCAATATGTCATAATCAAGGCCCTCTTATTAGTTTCCTCAGGGAGCACACGGTGATAGGCCTCAAGCCTAATATCTTGCACAAACTTGCAGCAGTTCAAAAAATATCAAGTGCAGGGTATACCACAGGGATTACCCCCAATGATATTGTGTACTGTCACACTCAATTAGCCATGGATATTGTATGCTCTCAGGCCGGAGCTGCTGAAGATGACATCCATGTAGCTTAACACCTAGGTCACACCCCCTGGATAATGCCGTTTTGAACAGACTGTTCAAGCCTCTTGATAAGGCCTATAAAGTATTGTTCCTTGACAACTTACTTTTGAGTTTGATAAGAGTTATTTTTCTTTTGCTCTCATTTTATCCCATTGTGGAAAAATATATATGTGGAAGAGACAATTAAGAATAATTTTCCAAAACATCACTCTACTTTTAGGACATCTAACAGCATAGATTTTCAAAGACATGGTTTAAAAATAATATCATATCCAGGTCTCCAAGAAAGGTGGGTATAAAATTAAATTAAATACCAGAAAGAACTTTTCTTAATAATGGAGTTGATATATTTACTTCCAATATAAATGAATAAGGATAACTTGCACCCATCATTTTAAAGTTTTTACATATGTGATTTTTTTTATTTTTTATTCAGGACATAAGAACAAGCTGTAATCACCACATGGCCTTTTCTTATATGGTGTGTACCTCGAGGCATAACTAGAAATCACAGTACAAAAATCAATGAAGGACAAACTCAACTCTTTACCCCCATACTTCCACACCCACCCATCTTCCTCTTCAGAGTACTCCTGCCGGTAGGTGCCAATTCAATGAGTCAGATAATTGCTAGCGCTCTGTCTGTGACTGAGTGCAGGGAACATGGTTGAATAATCTACACCTGTTAGTGATACTGAGCAAGTGCTTCTATATGAATGTGATATTTATGTCATATATTGCAATAATGGCCTTACTGTCTGGAACCCCCTACATAACAGATGGAACTCCAAGGACAGGTTGCAAAACTGGCCATTGAAACCCTGGTAGCTCTCTCAGCTTTTACTGGTATTTATATACTGCAATATAAAAGATAAAGATAAATACATCTGTATATGTAATTTAATGTTTAATTGCAAATAAAACCATTTTTTTTTACATGCAGACTGTGTCAGTCACAGCCAGGGAAGGTGTGGTTAGGGCTGCACAGACAGAAACAAAGGTTATTTATTCCTAAATGGCACATAATTGATCAGTGTGAATGCAAAAGCATAATCAATACATCAAACCTGCCTCACTAAGCCCATTCTCAGTTATTAAGCCCATTCTCAGTTATTATCCTTCCTGAGGTAATGAAAACATAAAAGAGACTCCTTAGCAGACTCATTGATTCCCAATCTCACACACATATGGTAATAAATTATTTAATCTTCTCCAAAGGAAATAAGAAAAAAGGTAGGTGGATTCGGGGAAAAAGGTTAAAACCATCAATGAAAGGAAAGAAATTAGTTCACAAAGCAGCAAAATTATTTGTGTCTATGGAACTTGTAAGAAGTGATGTTTTAGCAGAATAAAGACATCTTTCAATGCTGGTATTCTTAATGTTGCTTTTATGTAACCTCATGTGTCCCATCATGGTTTAAGAGATCTCCTACAGGCATCTCAATGTACTTTACCCCTTAAGGATGGCGGGCGTGCTATGCCATCCTTGAGGATCTGGCTCTAAATGCCAGGGGGTGGCATAGCACGTCCCCCCCGTCCCTTCTACTTACCCAGTCGCCGGCGATCCCACACTGTCGATCGCAGTGTGGGGACTAACCTGGCAGCCCAGTGAGTCCCCCTCCATCCATTCCAGTCCCCCTGGGCCATGTGATTGCAAGGTCCTTGCAAGGACCTCACGATCACATGGACTGCATAGCAGTCCACAGCAATGCCAACAGGGGGAGTGCCTGTAATTTTTTCCCCTTGCTATATGAAAAAAATAATAATAATAAATGTTAAAACAGTTTAAAATTAAATTATATATACTTAGATCATTTATATATTAATTATATATATGATCTAAGTATATATATATACACATACACAGTGTATTTTAATATTAATATGTATTAATATGTATATATATATATATATATATATATATATAATTATATATATGAATATCAGAATACATATAGAATGATATTGATTAAATATATATATAATTATCATTATATATACATACATTTATATATAATATAAAATAAATATATATGTAAATACGTTAAAAAATAAAATAAAGAAATAATAAAAAATAAATAAATATATATGTGTAAATTCATGCTAACTGTATTTTAAAATTAATATATATATATATATATATTGATATATAATACATGTAGAACGAAATAATATATATATATATATATATATATATATATATATACACACACACACACACACACATAAGTATATATTTATATATAACAATATATATATATATATACCTGTCAGAATCTTGATCCACCTCCCTGTGCTTCCGCTGTCAGTGTGAAGTGCAGGGAGATGGATCAGTGCTGCTGATCTTCTCCCTGTTAAAAAATAAATAAATAAAAGTTAAATCCCACCCCCCGTTTCCCCTGCTTTAATAAAATTAACACCTTACCTGCCAATTGATCACTGACTACAGTGATCAATTGGCAGGGACTACATTTTACTATGATATGATTTTTTTTTAACCCCTGAGGGTTAACTTGGTGTTAGGCTAGCTAAGGGTTAACATTAAAAAAGTTTTTAAAAAGTTTAAAAATATTTTTTTTAAATGTTTTAATAACATTTAAAAAAGTTAAAAAAGGAGTGGCTGCATAAACGACGAGATCCAGAGCAATACAGCATAAACACGCTAAAAACGCAGATTTTTGAGTGTCAAATCAGCAACCTCAACGCCCCTGACGACCATGGGCAGGAAGACTAAGAAACTGAAGCCTGAAAAACTGAAATGAGTCACGAATATTGGCGATCTTTTTCGCCAAGCACAAGGGGCACATGGACCCAAGATGGCCATTGACTACTTCGACGACTCTGAGGAGATGTCCTCGGACGATGAAGGAGTCAGGCTGACACTACCCCCGTAACCCCTGCGGAAGCCCAAAACCAGCGACTGCAGAGCGGTGACAGACGATATGCTGGAGACTATACTGGGGGCCCTCCAGAGAACCATACAGGCGGATGTGGCCCTACTCCACACGGACATCACAGGCCTGATAGGCCTGTGGGAGCAAATTATAGCTCAGCTTCAGCTGGACGTCCAAACATTCATCAAACGGCAGGCAGCCTACGATCTTCGGTTCATCTCTATAGAAGACTCGAGACGCCGCAATAATCTGAAGATACGGGGAATCCCAGAAAGCATACCCACGGCAGAACTCCCACATCTCGTACGGAGACTTATGGCTCAACTCCTGGAGCCCGAGCAATCCAGAAATATAGCCCTGGACGGGTTCTTCCGGGTTCTGAAACCCACCAGAGCACCAGAGTCAGCTTCCAGAGACCTGAGAGTGCGATTTTGTAGTGGAACAGATAAGGCACTGGTGATAACAGCAGTAAAAGGGTCTACCTCACTAAATTTTGAAAACAAGACCCTCTCCTTCTTCACAGACCTAACAGGCGAGACACTTCACTGGCGCAAAACGCTACAACCCCTCACAGCATTACTTCGCAGCCACGACATGGAATATCACTGGAGATCACCAAGAGCGTTACAAGTGAAACAGGGAAACGTAGTACACTCCATCGCGGACATATCAGAAGCACCCGCACTCCTCACCAAGTTGGGCCTGACAGGGGACGCCCTACAACTGCCTAGCACCAATGCCCCAAAGTCTACAACTCATCAGTGGAATGCGAATGCAACCACACCATTCTACCCGAAGGAACAAGTGCCCACAGCAATGACTGCGGCTGTAACCTGAAGGGGACAGCAGGCGATGAGGACTTCCATGAAACTCAAAGTTAGTTAGTACACACACAGTTGCTCCATTTTCTGCCTTCTTTTGGACTTTAAGTTTTCCTTTTCGGGCTCTACTGTATATTGGCCCACATGTCCCAACCACGGCTCAGACACGCACTGGCCGATCTTGGCCATAAGCCAATCCTTAGCAACTCACCCCGACGCCTCCAACTTTATAGACCCCAAAGACCAGCAGCCTCAGCGAGATGGAGGTGTACTCCCAGCCCCAGCACCTGCCTGTCACCTGAAGCCCAACACTCCTGACCCGTCACCACTAGCCCCTAGCTGGCAGGCAGATATGCCCCCTATATATGCTCCTAAGTTTAATTTGTTTGTGGTTAACTCAAATGCTTACTTATAAGGGCCATCTACATCAGAATAGTGCTTCACCTGCAGCGGATACCTAAGACCCTCTGCTACCAAAAAACTTGTGCATTTAGAGACGGGATGTCGTTACACATTTTTTGTTTGATATAAATTTCACAGCTCTGCAGTCCAATTGATCCTTGCTGCACCAAAAAATAAAGAATAAAAAAAGTTTAAAAAATCACATCCCCATTTTCCCAGTCCTAATAAAAATTAACCCCTTCCCTGCTATTATACTGTGATCTGATTTTTTTTTAACCCCTGAGGGTTAACGTTCATATTTTTTTAATTCATTTATATATATATTTTAAAATGATATATTTAGCTAGCTGGGGTGGGTGGAAGTTAGTGGGGAATTTGGTGTTAGGCTAGATAGTAGTTAACGTTAAAAAAGGTTTTTTTAACGCTTTAAAAAGTAAAAAAAAATTTAAAAAATGTTTTAATAATGTTTTAAAAACTAAAAAAAAAATCCCATCCCCCCCTCAGGGGTTCAATTTATTTAAATCTTTTAAAATTATATGTTTTGTAGCTGGGGTGGGTGGGAATTAATGGAAATGGTGGAATTTATTGTTAGTGTTTCTTACTGCTAGTTATGGGTTAACCTTAAAAAAAATTTTGACAAATTTTAAAAGTGTAAAAAAGTTTTAAGATAGTTTAAAAAAGTAAAAAAAATAAAAAGTAAAAAAAGTTTAAAAACAAGTTTTAAAAAGTAAACAAAGTTTAAAAAAGTAAAAACCCTGGGTATATTCTTTAATAAATATTATGTGTTTGTGGGGAAGTTTGAATAACCAACCAGCTAAACTACTCGGAAATGAAACATGGACACAATGTAAAACTTCAAAGTTAGAAACAAATTTAATGACTGCATCTCAAATGTGCCTCTTCAGCATCCACAAATACCTGGCAAAGGTACATATGGGGGTATTGCTGTACTCAGACGACATAGCTTAGCATATGAAATATTATACAGTCATAGCACACAAAAGGTTTGCAAAATATACTGTGCAAACACACTTTGTGTGTCAAAAAGGCTGAAATGTTTTTTATTACCAATACACTTGGTACAAGCTAGCGGAAAAATGATCCCACACCAAGGTTCAAAACATGCCTTTTGAAATACCCTGGGATGTCTTCTTTAATAAATGGTATGCCTTTATGGTGTAGTTGGAATATGTAGCCTGCTCAAGTGCACCAAAGTGGCACACGGACGCATCCAAACCCTCCATGACAATTAACACTTAACATGCACATGTTTTAAATTCTGCTATTTTGGCCTAAATTTTGAAATCAAGAAAATTCTTTGGTGTATACTAGTCTCCATGACTTTTAAATTCTAAAATGTCACACAAAAACAAACTTGGCTCTTATGATGCTGATTTATTTCATAAAAAGGTTTCCAAAAGTGCCTAAAGGATTAAGAAATTAATTCCCTGCAGTACAGGATTGCATTTAAATAGTAGCAGGTTGACAGGTTGAAAAATATCATATATATATTTAAGGGTTTTTTTGTGTTAATTTGGTTGTGAACTTACTACGTCACACTAAAATGAATAGCAAAATACAGAATGCAGAACTAGTTGCATAATCATTTGCATAGATGTGTACATGTACATGCAATTATTATCTCCTATTGGAATTAATACGACTTAAGAATATTATCAAAAACCCACATTTTGTGAAACAAACATTTAGAAAATGAGAAACCTACTGACAATCAACAGTATTTAAATGACACATTCCATGCCTATTTTTTGTTAGAGATCACAATGTGCAACCACCCCACATGTGACATGTCCCCTGTATTCTATCAAAGTTTTAAAAAATTACCTAAAACACTAAATAGAAAAATAGAAAGGTTACATGGTGAAATTAAAAAGTAAAATAAAATAGTAGGTACATAACCCTGAGAAAGAAGTCAGAAAAAAATTTAAAATAGAAATATCAGTTTGACCATTTTGACCTTGTTCATTCCATTTTATATCATTAACAACCCAAATTCTCTTAAAAACTCTCTGTCTTGTTATCAAGCAGAACTGTGTTTTAGAAACTTTGATAAGTGTGCCATATCCTGTAAAAGGAACTGGCAAGCTGTTTAGGATTGCATAGGTTTCTCAGAGATTCATCAATCTAGATCAAAACTCCATAACTCTTGTCCCCAAGAGCCATTAATGGGCCAGATTTTAAATATATCCCTGATTGAGCACAGATGTGTCAGTCAGTGGCTCATTTAATTTTTTTGACATCTGTGTGCCCATGGAGTTATGTAGTTTCAATTTGATCTTTTATCCAACTTTGAGGGCAAATGTTTTAAATCTACCCTCTAGTATAAAATTAGCTGCAAGTTGTAGAATGTTGAATGTGTTAAATAATATTCGATTTTCATCTGAAACAAGATTGCAAACAAGAAGAAAATTAAATCATAAATACTACATAGTTTAGATAATGTCAGAGTTTTAAAACAAAAATTATTTCAAAAAGTAAATGATGTTGGCTCAAGACAGTGTGCATATTACATTATATTTTACAGTGCTCTATAAATAAGATTCAGAGTCCCCCATTTCATTAAAAAATGATTTTTAAAAACTGAACAAATGTACCTTTATTTTAGCTCTGATACACTTTTCTCATAGCAGCTCATTCTACCATTAGTAATATCATCAGCTATGGTGATCTCTGTCCAATTTAGTGCTTTGCATACAGACAGTATGAGAGCCAGTATTGACTGAGAAATCCCAAACATTTCCTGATTTGCTGAGAATCTACAGATTTGTAGCTAACAACAAACAATTATGATAATGCATTTTTTTACATTTGTCTTTAAATTGGGAATTGTTTTCCAATGCTGGAATTGTTTTTCAATAATTATTATGCATTAAAAAGTGGCATCCATTCTAGCCTGGTATGTCTCTTTATTGATGTAGGGGTCACTTACCTTACCTCCAACTACCTGGCATTTTCTGCGATGCTGAACACTTCACCGAAGTTAGCGCAGAAAAATTATGTTTACAGTTGTGCTAATAAGGATTTCTACCATCCACAAATCATAAGGAATTTACTTATGATGTGGACCAATAGAAAATAAGCTTTACCTATATATACTTACCTCTCCCACTCCTTGTTGCCCTGTTGTGGCTCTAGTATCCAAATAATGTGTTCCTTGTATCTCCTGTTCCTGGTTTCTAATTTTTTCCATTTACTTGACACTTCTGATCTCTGGTAACCTATGACTTCGGCTTGTTATATGTGTATCCGTATTTCTCCTGTCCTTAAGCTCAGTATTCTCTCTGACTATTTATCCATTATCCCAGCCACTCTAAGGACTAGTATATGGATTGACTATTTAATGTGTTATAGTCTGCATGTTTAGGTTCCACGCTGAGCTTGACAATTAACTGACTTAATAATCTAGGTAAAGCAATCAGATTTTTTTTAAGGATAGGTGGCGCTACCAATATAACAAAGTGCAGTTTTAATATCCCCCAAGTGTAATGTCACAAGTAAAACTCTTAGTACATACATCAAAAAAGGAAAAAAATAGAGACTGCACACACATTGGTTTAGAAGTGCCTCACAATAAGTGATGGTAAATGGAACCTAATGTAAAATAAACATGAAAAGCAACATAGTGTAATATGTAACAACTGGGAATAATAGAAGAGTAACATAGGACATTCACAAATTTAAGAGCCAGTAATGAGTGGGCACTGCCCCATAAAAGCATGTCAGCAATCCCAGATCTAGATGGGGTGCAGCAATTTCAAATACCAGGTCTCCCAGTAATGGTAATGATCCTCATAGGATAATCATGAACCAAAATTACTAATTAATTAATTATTAATTGTAGGTTCAATTTTAATTCAGTTGGTGTTATATTTTTCATATAGTTCCATGTGTATTGACCTTTTCAAGATGGCTGCCCTCCCTCGACAAACCTACATCACTCCGAACATGGCCGTGCGTCAATTTTCTGTGACGCATTTATGGTCACTGCCATCTGACCAATGTGTGCGCAGTCATCTTTTTTTTTTTTCCTGTAATACTATATAAGTAATGTTACATAAAGTAACTAAAGGGATTTCAATTGTTTTTAGTGAACTATCATGTACTGGGCATTCTACTCAGATGCCCTGCTGGAGATTAATTACGGCATTTGGAAAATCACCACTAGGGGCATACTGAACATGTCTAAGGTGCTATCTATCTATCTATCTATCTATCTATCTATCTATCTATCTATCTATCTATCTATCATCTATCTAGATTCACATTACATCAATCATGCAAGGTTTTGGTTTGATAAGTTGGCATCAGGTTATTGTACAAATAGATTAGAGTAAATATACAAGTGTTTCTTAAACTATTACCCAAACATGGACAAACTTTTTTTTATCCATCCAAACTTATCATAAGTTTGTGTGTCTACCCCTGCAGCTAAGCATTTAGAAGAAACTGCATGAGAGTTTCAATAGCTTATGCCAAAAAGTATGCCACCGTAATATTTGTGAAGAATCCTAGCTGTGAAGCAATTCTGTTTATGATGAGAAGCAATATTTAAATTTTATGGGAGCGGCTATTAATCTTTTTAAAAATATGTAC